GTGCTCACTGGAAGGACAGATCCTGAAGCTGAGGCTCCAGTACTTTGGCCATCTCATGAGAAGAGAAATCTCGCTGGAAAAGACCCTGATGTTGGGAAAGTGTGAAGGCAGGAGGAGAAGGGGACGACAGAGGAGGAGATGGTTGGACAGTGTCATTGAAGTGACCAACATGAATTTAACCCAACTCCGGGAGACAGTGGAAGACAGGAGGGCCTGGCGTGCTCTGGTCCATGGTCCATTGGCTAAACCGTTGTTACATGCTTCTAAGCCCTGCCTCCTCTAGTGGGTGACCACTTAGAGGCGGGCCAGGGAAGCCAGGCCACTGCTAGAGGAGGCAGGAAACTGACAATGAAGACATGCCAAGACTGTCTACATCTTCAGAGGTAGTTGACAAATGCAGAAAGACAGGACAGCTATTAAACAGAATCACAACAGCATGAGGAATCAGCAGCTTGTGTGAATATGGATTAATATTGCTCCTTCTCCAACCTCTTACATATTTTTTATTTTTAGGGACGTGGCTGCTGTATCTACCCTGCACCTGGAGTATTGCCCTGGCAGCTGAGCCAGGCTGTTGGCCGGCCTGGGATATGTTGCTACTTTTTGGTACCGGTGCATTGCTGATGCGTGGAGCAGGATGCACAATTAACGACATGTGGGATCGGGAGTATGACAAAAAGGTAGAGAAGACTTGAAAAGACTAGGCAGGCTGATAATGTTTGCTCAGTAAGAAAAATGCCTTCTTGTAAAGCAGTCGCCCCACCTGAAATGCTGACTGAAGGAAACAGTATTGCTAATGTCTGTGATCCTGAGCAATGAATTATTCATACTGTTTCTACCAGGCCATAAATGCCTGGACTGCACTTACTGTTGTTTACGTTGAAAGACACACTAGAAGTATGCATGTCAATTTAATGGAATACATCAGAGTTGACAAAAGGCAATGTATGTTGAAAGGCAATTAGACAGAGGTTTTTCCCTTCAAGCCAGATGTTCTTAATATACCTGCTTTCAGCTTGCTAGAAGGGTAGAAACACACAACCTGAGTAGCAGGAGTCTGCTTTTTCAACATTACGAAATCTAAAAAAATTTTTGGCTTGCGAAAAGTATGTGTGTGTGTTGCTAATGATAATAACCAACCATTGAAAAAAAATCCCTGTGGTTTAGGTGACAAGAACAGCAAGTCGGCCACTGGCAGCTGGAGAGATCTCAAGTTTTCAGTCCCTTGTGTTTCTTGGGGGACAGCTTAGTTTGGCGTTATGTGTCTTATTATGTTTAAATTATTACAGGTAAGTTAAACATTGACGTTTTTTTGTTTTTGCCATAATCGGTGTAGGTTTGGAATCATTCTCGCAGAGGCATAAAACAGGCACAGTCTTCACATTTGAATTGATAATTTTTCTTTTTGTTGTTGTTTAGTTTCAGTTTTTCCCGAAGACAGAATTTGGTTGACCAAATCTCATACAGCAATTTTCATTGAAATCTAGCAGGGAAATCAGCCTTTTTTTTAAAAAAAATCACACCAGAAATAAGGGATGAAGAAGTTTATTTAATTTTATTTATTTATTATATTTTTATCCCGCCCTTCTAGACATATGTCTACTCAGGCGGCTCACAATAAATTATTCATAAAAACATAAAAAGCCTCCCCGAGTAGACATGGTCTAGAGGGGTGGGGTATA